ACCATGACGTCACTGCCGGAAGATGTCAGGAGTGAGTTGTTACTATATATGGGCAAAAATGGCCACTCCCAGACTTAGTGATCACGACAAAAATTATTGTTTTTAGTTTTTTACTGATTAACGCTCAATTCATTAAATCACCGCAAACGTATTAGTTTTAGGCATAGATAATGATCCACTGATTATTCCTTGCTGACCAGACTTTTCCTTTAACATCTTTGACAAGATTTTCATTGTGTTTCATCAAAAAATAACATGCTTCTCTTAACTTGGCAAGTTTTCAGGAGGACTTATTTTAAAGGTATAGTTGAGGATGTTCTTCTTCTGGGTGGATAATCAAAATAAGTGGTCCTCCTAATTGTCAATCATTCTGGTGATATATTTATTTAAGGCTGTGCTCGTCTCTAGGTTTTTCTGCACATGCACAATGTCAGGTGTATATGTTTAGTGAGCTACGGTTTTAGCCAGTAATTGAAGCACGCCTTTCTTACCCTGGTTCTTTGAAAATGGCTGAGAGTCGTAAGATGAAAAAGTATCTACGAGGTGAATGAGTAGAAAAGAAAGTTCTCAGAAGAGAGAAACCACACCAGTGTTTTTAAGAGTTTCTGTCACTCAACTTGTAAACAGAGCGTGCAATAGGAGAAATGTGCTTGTGCAAGCTCTCGCAAATATTTGATAGGTGTTCCCTCTCGGGAGCGGGCACAGAGTTGTGCCTGTGCTTTTTTTTTTTAGGATGAATTTGTTTTTGTATTTCTCTCAGCCGTGTATTTAAATTGAAACAGCTAAGATTTTTTTTTTTGCCTTAAAATGTTGTGACAGACCTATAAAGTATGTCTTTCATGAGGATGCCTGTCTTTTTTCTTTTGCACAGTGCTTGTACCGGGATATGGGTGATAAAAATACAGTCTGGCTCTAAACTATTTAAACAATCTACAGTAGGGATGAAAGTTAAAATCACTAAAACGAACTTATTTCCCCCAATTTATCATTATAAAAGGCAACCTAAGTCAAGTTTTTTGAAGACGTATCGACACCTATCCAGGAGTCCTTGTCAATTCCGTTGGCTAATTGTTTCAGCGCTAGTGTGAGCGAACAGAGCAAACAGAACTTACAAAGACTCCTGCATAGCAAAATGGTTGCCTTTCAATTTAACCCTTTTTGTGGTTGCCATGACTGAGAATTTCCACAGGCATCATTTTCTAATGTTTAGCAGAATGTTAAACTAGAAGGAAAGTGTTATATCCAAATATATAAAGTTATTTCTATTGTAAGACATTATTTCCTAACAAACTGAAGCTCAAAAAGCCTTTTGTTGGTCACTGCTAAACTAAAAACTAAAGATGGTTTAAACCAAACAAAACTTCCATTGTAGGATATAACATTTAAATCCGATAAGATAAGACATGATTATAGATTTCTGTTATTGAGCTATAGGTTTAGAGTTATAGGAGTTATTTTAAAGCCTAATAATAATGTTTAGTAAAGATTTCTCAAACAAAATAATAAATAAACCATTTGTTGTTGATAAATAGTCTTAAGACCCATTTTTGGAGCCATCTTATGAAATTAAATGAATTGAAGGACAGAGAACAGAATCACTTGATGATTTCTCTAAACTAAAACACATAGTCCTACTTACAAATAAAAAACATGGCAAAAAACAGGCGATTTGATGTCGCTGCCACTGCAGCAATGGCTCACACTTTTGACACAAATGCAGATAAAACAACTAGTTCACTGGAGGACATGGAGTCATGGGCAAATCAAAAAGCATGCAGTGAAATAACAAATTCACCCTGAACATACTTTTTTGGTTATCTAAGGTCTTTTTGCCAGAATGTGTTTTTTTCCACTTAGAGGTTAGAGACTGGAAAACAGAAAATGGTGAGGTAGGACAGACGGTGTTGACCTCTAGCTGTTAAGGGTGAACAGTTACGGAGTAGATGACAATGCAAATGTCTCAAAAACAGATGAGCTGCAAGACACAAAGCCTTGTGATATATTAAGAGCTATGAGGAAACACTTATAACCAAACTTGAGCCACATATCATGAGGCCAAAATACAAGAATGCATCTTGGCACCGATGGCAGATAGACGGGAATGGAATCTTGGCAACAAAACACCAGGAAATAGCATTGACTTCCCAACTGAAGAGAAAACAAAACAAGAAAAACCTAAGGCATGCAGCTTTCAACCAACGGCAACATGATGTTCGGGTTAGAATGGTGTGAATTTCTGTGTAAACACATGACTGGATGACTGGGGCCCTGTCTTTGTCTTTCTTCACAAATCCCCATGGATCTCAGGCTTTAAAGCACCGTTTGAATCCCCTTTAACATGATCAGTCTTTTTGAAAACATTTGGGAATGACCCTTTTGAAAAGTTGTATTATTACAGGTCCTCAGACTCACGTTTTTCATATTTGTTCAATATTAATTTATGTTGTGTAGATACTTTAGATCCACTTTAAGCCAATTTGAAATAATCAACATACTTATTCAGAAAACAACAACAACTGTTAACTACATGTATATTTTACAATTACTGATCACTTATTGCAGAAAGCAGAAAACTTTGCATTTGTAAATACCGTGACCAGAACAACACATTTTTACTGTTAGCTCATAGAAGGTCAGTTATTATGTCTATATTGAGCATTTAAAGTGTAAGCTGCATCAGATTTTTCAGTTTTCAACCAAAACAGCTGGTTTAGCTTTTTCAATTTTCCATACATTAAAATCAAAATTAGGTATGGGTAAACAAATTTTTAATATTTATTAGCACTTCTGATGGTTTATAATACAACAGTTAACAAATCTCACTCATTTCTCACTTTTAACAAGAAGGGTTTCCATTCAGAAGTGAATTCAAAACTAGCTCAAAACATTTCACTGGAAGACAGTACAAGGCAGATTTTGTAGGAAGTCTCTTGGAATCCCAAAGAAACAATTGAATTGTTTAAGAACATGAACAGTTTAAAGATTTAAAATGCATCGCACTTCAACATTTTCTGCAAACGCAAATGTGTATTCCGGTCCTGACTTTCAGTCCCTTAATTTTATAAGAGTAATTTTTAAAAGGCCAAATTTATGCTGCTGATGCTGAAACCCTGTTGGATTTAGCAACAGTTGCTAGTAGCCCACAAACATTATGAAAGGGTAAGTGTCATAGCTCAATGGAGGAATCTACTGATATTGCACAACTTGGGGGAGCAGCTCTCTAAGGATTGATAGTGAGAGCTCAAACCAGCTGCAACTTCTCCACGTGCTCCTTGGTTCCAAAATGCTGCTTCATCAAGGGTTTGTCACATAAACGCAATGTAATCTGTGATTTTAAGATTTATTTTATTTTTGCTTGAATTTTAACATGTTGGTTTATGTTTACTGGCAACAAAGCAATACTATAATTCATCCATCTTTTGGGATTTTTTTTTAAATAAAAGTCTCTGTGCCCATTTATTGTGCTTTCAACTCTAGATTAAGCCCTAAGTGATACATAGAATTTTTCTTAACAATAAAATATTGCATTAATAACAACATTCTTTTGAATAAACATTGTGTTGTGTAAAAAAACAAAACGATAAAAAAAAGATATATAAATATCTTAGTGAAATTTTAAAAAAGTCAAAATTTTAAATATTCCTGGAAAGGAAACTTATGGAATAATAAGCTCTAAGTCAAAAACATAATAACGTAAGTAGGAAAGTTCTGAGAAAAATTTAAATAAACAAGTCCATTACTCCAGAAATAGACACTGTTAAATTCCACCAAAATAATTTTCAGGTTAGTAGGTGGAAACCTTTTAATTAATAAAACTTCCAATTTACCATTTAATTAATTCAAAGCTATATTTTAATATACTGTCATTTCATTAATCTTAATTTGAAAACTTGAAACTTCAATTTTCCCTTTACAGCCTTACAAAAATGTATACAAGCATTCCAAAACTGTTTAGTACAAGTTCCAGGGAAAAACCTACAAGTTCCTCAAATATAACACAGTACCTGCAGAAATGTTTAGACAACGTAACTGCTGAGAAATTAACCTGTAAGATCCGTAAAGGTATGAGAAAAGCCATATATTCATGGCTTTCTCCATTTTTTTTATTTGAGGAATCTGGTACTGAACTCAAAATATAATTGTTATGCTTTCTGCAAGAAGTGTTCAATTAAAAGGCTGTTAAAAATGTTGCATGATTACTAAAAGAGTCCCTTATTAACGTTTAAAAGAAAAAGGAGATTCCCAATTTTTTTCAAATGCATTTTCTCAAATTATTCAATTTTTCAAATCTATTTGGATACAAAAAAGACAGAATGATGAGTACACCTAAGAGCAAAAGTATGACCCAAAGAAAGAAAAACCTGTACACAGAAATTCAATGATATCTGTTCTCTATCACATTTAACAATGCAAGCTTCTAAATGTGGAAAACAAACAAACAAACAAACACAAATGAAAACAAAAATTACTTAAATTAAAATCTGGGGACAGTTCTCATTTTATCTATGAACAAATTCAAAATATTTTTTCTTTAAAGAAAACCAGAAGAGCAGTGAACTGCGAGAGCAATGATCTATAACATGACAAAACACATTTAGCAGCATCAGTGTGGAGAACATGGTTCACCTCCATACAAATTTGACGGTTAAAATGTTGTAGCTTTTATTATTCCTCTCAGTTGCCAACATTTGTATGCATTCCGGAAACCATGTTTACCACTTTAAAAGACCCCATGTTCAAGTGTAGCTTATAATATTAGATCTGCTGACGGCTAATATAACACTAGATTAAAGTCCTGCTTTTTTCAAGTTTTATTGAATGCTCCAGCTTTTCTTGGAATAAGTTCGTATTGCATGGGGAGTTTAGTAATTGAAGTAAGTGTTTAAGATACACTTTGTATAAACATGGGGGGATGATGCTTTGAGGATCATCTGATCCTCTGTTGCAGATGAGTGTAAAAGCACAAAGAAAGCAAGCAAATGCAAACTAACCTAGCCCACCTGCAATGCTCATGTCACACTCCTTTAGGTCCTCGTCGTCGCTTGAACACTCTGCAGAGGACCCAATGTCATCTACCACATGCTTCTTGGGCAGAACATTGATTACCATAAATCCCAACCGGAGTAGTAAGAAAACACACAAAGAAACAAACAGGATAAACAGATAAGTTTAGAGGCTGCTGGTTGACTTCGGTTGAGAATACCAGATCATAGTGATAGATAAATAAATAAACGGCAAATATATAATTAGTATGTAATAAGTATTGCTGAAGATGAATCTTCCAGATAAATTAATGGACATAATAGAACTCTTCTAGTTTTGCAAATCACATTTAAGAATTTTTTCCTTTTTAGAGTGGCTGAGGGGTGTAAATGCCATGCAAATACATGATAACTCTGTAAATTAGGAAATGGTACCAGACACAAATGGTACCAGACCATTACCACAAATCACTATGAATTAATATCTATGAACCGGATCTGCAGGAAAAACATAAAGAGATGCTGGCCCAAAGGATACTGTGAGGGAAGACAGAAAAGGCAAGTTTTTCTTTAAATCTTGTTCATATATTCCCTGTGAATATTGCTTTTCTACCTTTACAAAGGATCTTAGCCCATTTGAGTTGATGACTTTCTTCCCCTTGTGGTCTGGAGCCCTTCTTTTATGCAGAGCTAGTTAGCAGCTATTTTTAACTTGCAGTTGTTTTTGCAACTTGCAGCATTTTCCCTTTGCTTGTGTTTTGTGAGTTAAATTCACCCTCTTCTGCCACAGAATCAACCTAAGGTCAACCTAAGGGTCACAAACAAACCAAACAAGGTCTACCAGATTATTTAATTTGAGGTAAGATAATATCCTCACTTTCGAAGTTGAGTGTTTGGATTGTCTATGATCATCAACAACTCTGACAGCTCTGTCACTAACAAAAGCTGTCATTAGCCCAGAAAGGCTATTTGACCTGTCAATAATAAGGGCCACTAACTCCAAATCTAATCATGATTAATGAATAAAATAATAAAAGATTAATTAATGAATTAATAAATAGCCACTTTGAAAAAGTAAGCCAGTAATAGATGAAAGAAAGCAGTCAACATCTATATAAAAAAATAACTACACTCAGAGATCTCAAAGCCTCAAGAACTGTTAATCATGACACAAGTGGACTACAGAATAGTTTGCACAGGGATTAAAAAAAAGAAACTGCATTTTCAAAATTGGATGACAAACCGTTGGGGAGGATCTGTGTTTCCGTGTGGTTGTTGTTGACATCATGGTGGTCGTCTCAACAAAGTTGGTAGACATCTCTGGAGGCATGGCTGTGGTACGGGCTGAACCTGCAACACTGGGCACGTCACCCACCAGCCTCACGCTCCCGTTGATCTTGATGTTAATGTTGGCTTCAGCCGCCATTTTCAACACCTTAAGGCCGTTGTAATACAGTCCCGACAGCTGACCTTGAAAAGGTCGGCCTCGGTCGCTACCTCCAACCGTGATTGTTGCTTGAGTGTTGAAAATTGTTAACTGCCGCCCTGAGGAAGACATCCACAGTTATAGATTACCCATTACAACACATTATATGATGCATTACATCACAGTAATGCATTACCATAAGAAAACTCAGCACAGAATAAATAGAATTTCAATGTACCCTTGACATCCCCATGCATTGGCTAAAACAGATCTAGACATCTTTCTGTCTTTCACATTTAGGCTGATGCTCTATTTCATATTTATTGGCTGGTTTGTTTATATTTCATACACGGTCAGTTGTTGAAATAATATTCAAAACAAAGACATACTTGTAACAATTATATTTTAAGCAACTCATTGGTAGGACAGTGAAGACAGATGTAAACAATCTTCCTCATAAATTACCTTTGTCTTGTAGCCATTCTTCTACTGGTCTGACATATTTGAAAGGAATTTTCTTATTGGCCGTTTGGTAGCGTTCAATGTCGCTGTTCCCTTTAAAGTTTAAGAAGACATTTATAAAGACATTTATTTATGTCAGAATCATGAAAAAAATCAATAACAAGTTAGAACAACTTTAACAAGAATATTAGCTTTAAGTTAGTCCCTATTTGCGGGAAGTAAAATAAATAGGCTTTCTCACTTGTCAATTACTGTACCACTAGCGCCATATGCACACTGTTTAAATTTTTTTTTTTAAAATGCTTCTAATTTATTTATTTACATTTAGTATAGGTGAAATATACAACAGAATACAATTAACAAAACATTATAAACAGAAAAAAGCCTTAGAAAAACAAGATGTTTAAAACAAGGTTTTAAAAACTCCTGGTGGGGTTCAGATAACCATAATACACATGTCACTGGCCAGCATGAGCTCCTAGTGACCAAACAAGGATGTTTTTTTCCAATTAACTGTCCTTAAAAAAAAAGGCAGATATAACATACCCCTCGCACATCAAACAAATTTCTTTTGCTTGTTGCAAAATGGAAAAATTAAACTTTGCTGAAAAGATTATGATCTCAAAAGGTATGTTTAGTGGCACTGTAGCACAGAATAAAAGTAAACATTTATAGAACAAAGACAGCATTAAAATAATTATTTCATAAATTTTGACAGGTCGTGACAGGATGTGAACATGAAAAAGAAAATATTTTGCACCAATAGGAACAATAGGTTGAAGTCCGGTGTGACAGAGCCTGGTTGATGCCAGATTTTAGTAGCTAAATGATCGCACATACTGTAGACATGGTTTATTTCTCAGTTTTAAGCAGATCAAAAAAGAAACAGAATTACGTCTATCAAGTTTTTGAGTGTTGTTGCTTAAATGGCTCAGAAGCCATCTTTAGGTCACTACTTTGCTTCTGGACAGGTAAGTCTTCTGCCAGCTTTAGCTTTGGCGTACCTGCCAACTGGTAAGTTATCAGAACCATTAAAGGTTGGAATCAGAACAGGCAGGTGTGAGTGCGCCATCTTCTGGCTGGGAAGAGTTAGACTTTTAGCCACTTTCTTTTAGAACAGCACTGTAGAATAATATCAGGGCATTGCAAATCCTTTCAGAGACAGAATAATGAATATAAATATGTAATAAATATGATTACGATGTGGACTTAAGATTTGTGTACAAAGTAATTTTTGCTTCCCTGACACTTTATCCAACTGCCTAAATATCTTATTCTCATCTAAAATGAAAGTTCCCAACACTTTTAATGTCTTAGCTGACTTAGCTTATTTCTATCCAAACAGTGCTTTGTTAGATGCATACTGAAGTTGCAATGAGAAAATATTTACAATATGTTATGCGGCCATTCTTTAAAGCATATTATATTAGATTAATGAATGCACCACAAATAATGTTTTGATCAAAACAACCATTATTATTTTTATTGGGCCCACTTTGCCCAAAGTCTCAAAAGCATATCCAGATGAATCTCCTTAACTTGTTCTCCTATACCACTGCAATAAGGAACCCAAATTTGGCATACTAAAATTTGAAGTTTCTCTTTGGAATAAAAACAAGCATCCAGCTATAGCTTCAATTACGCTTATTTCCCGAGCAGATGCTGTCCAGTGACTCTTTGCGGCCATCGTGCAACAACATGCTTTTTATACAATCTGTGAAATAGATAGAATATATTTTTGTACCTGTTGGGAAATGTTCATTGATTGACCAGTTATCCACCTGCAGCGTAGCATTCCCACCATTCCTGGTGAAACGAACCACATGATACTTCCCATCATTCACCGGGGTGCTGCTTTCTTGAACAAGGATGTCCTCCGTTCCAATATTGAAGGTCACTCCAATCTTGCCTTGCTCCTAAAATAACAAAACACTACTGTTTAGGTACTGTAATGAGGGGACGTCTTATCTTTTTGTACAGGAACAGAAAAATATACAGAGCTGAATACATTTTAAATTCATGTGAGGAATTACCATGATGAATATTTACAACAGCTTTAATGTTGATAATGTTATACGAAAAGTTTAGTTTTGAAGACCACCTTCAACATAAAACCTTTAATAAACATATGACTTGTACTGTAACATGCAAATCGATGTACATATACTTATATACATAAAGGGACAGTCTTAGTAAAAGGATGTAATAATTTAAACAATTGCTTGCTATTACACCTAACAAGACCCAAAACAAAGAACGAGTGGATGGATATGTATAACTACTTACTATGTGTAGCATAAGATAGTCTCCAAGACCAGGGGCACTATCGATTCTGACTAGGATGCCATCTTTCAGGGATGTGCTAAAGCCAACAGTCAGTCTGTCAGTTCTGGTACTTGGTCTCTCATTAGCTGGCCAGTTAAATGTAATGAGGCCTCCCCCTTTCCCAAAGATGTATGTGGTTCCAGCTGAAGTGAGAGAATCAGAAATGATAAACTGTCAGAAATAACAGATTAAGTAACAAACTGGCTAGTATATCTAAAAAAAATAACACACAACAGACCATTCTATATAAAGACATGGCTTATTTATTTGGGCAAATTGCCAAATGAGATCAACTGTGTCCAATTCAAGGCGTCTTATAGGGCTTGTCATTAAGGTTTATAGTAGGCATGTCCAAAGTTTGTCTTTTAGTGCTGCTGTACTAAAGTTTTTAATGATTCTTGGCTTCAGCACAGCTGATTCTGGTAAATGAATTTCAGCAAACATCTATTAATGGAAATTAGCTGTGCTGAAGCAGGGAGACCTCAAAATCCTGCAGGAAAGCAGCCCTCAAGGACCAACTTTGGACATGTCTGGTTGATTGCAACAGGTACCAAAGTACAGTTTCAAATGAGCAGACATAAAAAAAAAAAAAAAGAGTTGTAGAAAACTCTCTCTAGACACCACAATAATAAATGAATACTGGGGACATTGTTTTTAAAGGTAGGTTAAAAAAAAAAACTAAGGCAAAACGAGATACAATATTTCACATTTTTAAGGTTTTAATAAAACATGATATTTTATTTAATAATATTATAACAACATTTCCTTAATAGCTATATTCATCCATTCTTATTTTTATTATGTAAAACCTTGTTAGATGTGAATATAAACTAAACTTCTGTATTCATATAAACATGTACTGACGTTGTTTATTAATCCACACAGATTTTCTATACCTCCTCTTATTTGACAGTTCCTGAGGAAACAAAAAATACTTAATCTGACACATGTGTGCACAAACACAGAGTGTAGCTAATGCTAATGAGCAGGCCCAGGCAGATGAGACGATTCTTGGCTCTGGCTGATAATGCTCGTCACAAAAGCACTTTGTTGCCTGAGCCAGAACCCCCGCTACCCCAATCACCCTCCTTCCAACTCTCCACAAGCTGCTTTAGTTTGTGCGAATTAGTCACCTGATAACACAACAGTCTCCTCTATGCCTACTATAGAAATACATTTATACATATTATTTTACCCCCTTAGAGAAATACTTATACAAATATGAGGGAACAATTGCTGTTTCTCTTTATTCCTGCAGATGCATGCCATATTGAAAGACTACTGTGAGACTGTATATTTGATATCAATGAGAACATAAAGCAATGATGTGTATAAGTGACTGCAGCTTTCTAAAAAACCAACAACAAAAGAATAAAGACCAACGTTGAACGTTTGGGGGGATTTTTCACAAGAGAAAAAAGTATTCACACGATTTGTTGGAGAGGTTTTTATGAGAGCTACAGTACTATGGTGTCAAAAATTTTGATTTAAATTAACTTTAGGTTTTTCTCTGTCCATATGACATGAGAGAATTATGTTACTTTGTTGGTGCTTTTACTGTATGTGGCGTGTGGTGGGCGTGGGGGGTAAAACCCTTGGATTTTACATCAGACAATCAAAACAACATCAAAACAACTTTTTTGAATCATTGACACTATAGTTATCCCTATGGCTCAATGGACAAAAATGCTAATTATCTTGTTTAAAAAAAATAATGCATCTTGTTTCCCTAAAATAACTCCTCTGTTATAACAAGTAACTCATATTCATAAAAAAAAAGAAAGTAAAAGTATCTAAACTAAAAACCAGAAAAGGTAGGATGGCTCTTTATACAAGAAAATAACTATCCATCATTAATAAGTAGATTACTGTTAACAATCATCCCTTTAATCCAGCAATAGAGAGCAAATTACAAAACTTTTTAAAATGCTTTTTTTATTTAAACCAAGTCACAGGCATTACCTGATGATAATGGAATAAATAAAATGCATGTACAGGCTTAAGAACTCAGTTACTTAGGTTGGTTTGAAACAAAACACTGTATTCAATCAAGAGGCAAATTATAGGTATAGAGGACAATCTTTTATTTCCAGGTGGATCATCAAAATAAGTGGTCATCCTAATTGTCAATCATTCTTGTGATATGTTTACGTAAGGTGGTCCTACTTGCTCAACCCGTTACATGTAGATGTCTTATCACACTTTCAGACATGTGTGGTGAGCTACAGTTTCAGACAGTCATTGAAGCTTACCTTTTCTCACTGTGATTCTTTGAAAATGGCAGAGTTCTAAGAAAAAAGTGTCTACGAAGTGTATGACAAGAACAGAAAGGTCTTAGAAGAGTCAGATATATCCCGCAATGCTTTGCACAGAGAGCTATTCTGCCAAAGCATTATGGGATTTGCTGTCACAGCGGCCCACTGTCACCATGGACTGTTGGCGGACGTTTGGACACAGTAAGCTTTTATGAACAATGAGAACAGCAATTTTTAAGAGTGTGCATGAGGAGAAATGGGCAGTGCATGCTCTCGCAGGCGTTCCCTCTCGGGAAAGCACAGGGTTGTGCATGTGCATTTTTTTTTCTAAGTGGAGAGGGTGGGTCCTTTAAAAAAATTTGTGAAAATCCTCCAAAATAACTTTAAGTGTTCTTTAGCTTTGTCATAATAATCAGAGATTTAGACATATTTTTAATTCAAAATGAAAGGTTTGCGCATGAAAATAAAACATTTAGTGGAAAAAGGCTCAGAATAACAATTTATGAATATTTGCTGAACTGACTCTCTGGACTATTTTTTCAGTTTTTCTTTTTTTCAGGCTTATATGTCATGATTTTATTGTGCTTTTTCATCCTTATTTTATTCAATATATGAGATCAATGTTGTACAGTGCTCTTTTAATTGATATTTAATTGAAAGCCGCTTTATAAATACATTTGACCTATTTACTAATTCAAGAAAAAAGTCACATGCAATAAAAGTTAGCTCCTAAAGCCACAGCATTATTTTGTTCACTGATATTCCTAAAAAGAAATTGGTCATGGCCCTTCTTGAAAGAGGATATCAAGCGATAGCTGTTCGAAAGGCTTAAGGATCCACAGCTAAGAATATTTTTCTAGAATTAAACACTATACCAAAGGAACACCTTGAATGATGTTTTGTCCCATAAGCTACCTTTGATTGTCTCCGCCAAACTGTTTCAATCATTGTACTGATTTAGGTTGCTTCCACTGGTATACCAAAGTACTCTTAGGCTTAACTGACAATCTGCCTTATAACATTTAGAAAGCAATACAATGCAAGTAGAACCTCAAATGAAGTGCCCTTTGGTGCCTATCGGTCCCTTACAGTGGATTTGAGATTATCGAGCCATCCTATGGGTCTAAGGATATAGAACATCATACTTTCTCAAGAAAGGTCAAGGTATTGTTTGTCTTGAAGTTGCAATTTAATCAAAAGCAAAAAAAGTAAAGATATTTGGTCGCAACATACCAGAATTATAGAGCAAAATCTATAGGTTTGTGAAAGGGTGGACTGCAAAACTATTACAGTCAGTATATTGGAGAAGATAGCTACATAACCGTGTAAATAGTTTCATGTCGCTGAGACTGAAAATAGTTAATTTGTGGTTTTATATGGAATCAGCTTCCCAGTAAAACAAACCACATTCTTTGATAAGAGAGGCAATTTATAACAGGATCTGTCTAGATTTAAATGCTGCTTGATGCAAACAGTGATACTATAAGAAATTATCTTTATGGGAGTTCATTCATGAAAAAAAGAAATTGTATATATTAAAGAAATCTTATGAATAAAAAATCTAGTCAGCGAAAAAAATGTTAGCAAAAAAAACTTAAAAGGATAAAAACTATTTGAAGGAAGCAGGTATTCATACAAGATATTTTTTTTCTCGCTACCACAGTGGATGACATCCTATCCAAGTCTGTGGTGGACTCACTGCTTATTCTCTGTCACTATAAATCTATAGCGGAAGCACGATCCGTCCCATTTGCTAATTTCCTCATGCGCAACTAGATATACATCCGGGTCGCCCTCGATTTTCTTTTGTATAAAAGACCTAAATTAAATTTGTCCCACCCCCAAAATAGTAAGTGTACTAAACTATAATTTTTTTAAAGGTTAATAATGTACTTCCTGAGAAAATAAATGCCTTAAAATCCTTTCTGTTTTAATACCAGTGTGTGCCCAATCTGCTCTGGAAATGGGATCCTAGGCTACTTCCAGGAGCAAACTGTTTCGGCTTTGGATTTAAACATAAATCTAGTCTTTTTTAATTTAATGTTTTCCTTTCGTATTAATATTATTGTATACAGTGCATAATCTAAAGAAATAGACAACTAAAGTGCAGATAAACATGGATCAATCATATTTTGCCAGAATACTCGGAGCATGTCTGAATCTGACGTCAGACAAGCAGTTTAACAGCAAAAATGTAAAAGGCATCAAATTAGCTTAGAAAAGTCATAAAACATTTTAAAGAATTTTAGTACAATAATGAAATTATTATGGAAACCCGGATGTATATCTAGTTGCGCATGCGCAAATGAGCTGATGGTATGGGACAAGTTTGGTAGTGACACTTACTGTAAGAGATTATTGTAAAACTATCTCTGACTCGTCTTTTATGTGATTAAAAATAGATCTAAGGCGTCTCCTATTCATTCTAACAGCAGCTGTCTGAATTGTGGTCTCATCCAAGATGGCCGCCCTCTAAGCACTTTGTTCAGCATCCAATGAGTTGTCTACGTATATCATGTCTATGTGCTACCAGCACGGATCAGGTAGTGATGGATTGTGCTACCGGTACGGATCGGGTAGTGACATTCTGGACACAATGCCTGAGCAGAACTTTTGTCTCATTGGGTGTCCATCTACTGTATTGTGATTGGACAGGATTTAGATGGTTGTGTTTAGGCTGGAAAAGGGGAGCTGCCTCACTTATCTGTCAAACGCTGTAGTCTAAAAGGTCACCTTTGGTGGCTAAGCAGTTTAACAAGCCACTTTTGCGTAGTTACAGCATTTCACCAATAAGTTATCCTATTGCGGCATTTCCATCACACCAAACTGCCCCAGTGTTTGCAGTCTACTTATAGCTGTACCTGCCATGTGCTTGGCTCAATCTCTGA